CTCTTACGATCGAGACCACCACACTCCTTTACCTTTTCGTCATTGCCATTCTTCTCGATCGCTCACGCACGAGAACCCAATCGACGAGTATTTCTCGTCTATGATCGGTAAACTTTGATATTTCGTATAGATATTTTATTGCCAAGTTTTCGACTTTGAAAAAAAAAGATTCGAGATTATTTACTCGCTATTCCTTGTCTCATCCAAGCCATAGAATCGGTTTAACGTATTCTTACCGAGTTTGCCGAGTTTTATCGATCTCCTCGCCCCGCTCCTTCCCTCCTACTTTTCCTCGCTAAAACGCTATCCTTCCCTTAGGATTCAATTCAACAATTGCCTCGATTAGAACGATTTCGAACGAAAACGTTTTCGTCGAAATCGGGAAAAGAAAGGAGAGAGAGAGAGAGAGAGAGAGAGAGAGAAAAAAGAAAAAGGAATGGAAGAAGAGGAAAGAATTTGACGGCCGTTCGATTCGGGTAAAAGCTGGAAAAATCGCGTTTCTCGCTCTCGATAGAGAACGTTTCTATCGTGGCGATGATAGTAGCCACGAGCACGGCCGATTCGCGCAACGGAACACGCGCGCAGACGTTTGGTAACCCGGTTGATCCGTTCCTCCCCGCTCCTCCCCGCACCGCCGTGGCCATGACACTTTTAATAGGAGACAATTTGATGCAGTTGCTACTGCGATTTGAAATTTAAAAGCTAATCGCTATGGCGCAGAGTCGACCACAGCTTTTCCGAGGAGACTTCGACGGACTTTCCACTTCTTCTCGTCCTGCTCCTCGCACCAACCGCCTACTTTCAAATTCATCCCCCTCTTCCCCCCCTCCCTCCTTTGTTCCTCCTTTCAATCAATTTATCAGCCGCAAAATACGCGCGCCATTGCGTAAAAAAAAAAAAAAAAAATTCTCCACATCGTAAAATCTCGTCAAATTAACGGGGACGCGTATCTGCGATAATAAAAAGATTTTCATCGTTTTTATCCATTTCGATTCGCCCGCATCTTCCTTTCTACGAATCGAAGAACGATATCCCCCCCTTCCTTGTCCCTTTCTCTCCTCCTCCAACAAGTTATATTTCGCGCGTCACGGAAGAAAGACTTTGTCCTCGCGTTTTGCCAAGTGGCAAAGATAAGAAAGAAAAAAAAAGAAAAAAAAAGAAAAGGATTCTCGATTACCCGAATCGAGCCGCCCCGATTTCATTCGCCCCGAATTCGCCACGTGTACAATACGCGCTCACATCTACGAATCCCGATGTTCCATCCGAGATAGACGAAAGTCGAAACGACTTCCTCTATCACTACACTACATTTATTGGTCTATCTTATCGCGAGCAAGCCTATCTTTTTCGCGTACCGTTTCGAACTTTACGCAAGACCTCTCGGAATAGCTGACGAATCAAAGGGAGGAGGGGGAGGGGGCCTGGAGCGAAGGAGGAATAGACAGAGGCGGAGAGGCGAGGGAGGGGGAGGATTGGCGAAAGAAGGCGATCACGCCGGACCTTGAGGCGGGCGGACGTTCGGTTTAGGAATTCGTTGGATAATCTCGGGGCACGGCTCGAAGTGCCTCGGGTTTCAAGATGGCAGTCGAAAGTGGCTTAGATTAGATAGGGGCCCCCCCCCCCTGCCCGTGGCTTCTGCCGCGCGAAGAGGACGGAGAGTCCGAGTCCACCCGGACGGGACCACGTTTTTCGTGACGAGGAGGACGATTGCGCAATCTCGCCAAATTGGCGTGTATATATTCACATATATATATATAATACACGTTTCTCGAGTTAAACGCGGCTTCGCACGCGCGAGGCTCGTTTAGAGAGAAGGGGG